CAAATTCGATATAAGATTAAATATATTCAGGTTACATCAAGAATGATATCTTTATTAGTCCCCGCCCTTTTCTTCTTCCATTGAAGAAATGATAGCTACACGGATCTGACAATATGTTTGTGTCATCAGGATAATTGGACACATTTAATAAATGATGGCAGGTTTACAATGGGTAGGAGTATATGAATATAGCCTTCATCAGCCTACTGATTAGAAAGCTGATAAAAAATAGAAATAAGTGTGTGAGTTTGTGTGTGTGTGAGAGAGGGAGGGAGGGAGGGAGGGAGAGATATTAAGTGGACTGAAACCTTATATTCACAAGATACCCAATAACTCGCTCTAACATTTTTCATGTTTCTTTTATGATAATGGTATAATCTTTACTAAAGTATGAAGCCTGTGCCTGGTGCATATGTGTGTATCTCAATTGATTATGCATTGATATATTTTCTCCATATTTAGTACAAAGAGCTACCGTCCCAATCTGATATTGGACTGTCCAGAAACAGGTTCACTAAATAGTAACTTGTACATCTTTCATTTACATTGGACACCATTGCCATTCTTCCATATCAATCCAAGAATGGGCACTGTGTTCAATCAATGAATCGAGAATGCAACTTAGCTGTTCCAGGCCAACACCATAGGGACAGACTTTCTATGTCTTGAATGCCAGTGTTGATAAAAAAAAAAAAAAAGACATCAACTATCTCAAATCTCTCTCTCTGAAACCTTTCGTTTGGAGAATACTGAAAATGATTATAAGTAAATCACTGTAATTACTGATTATTTGCAATTAGCTCCATATTCCATCAAATTAGTTTCCATTTCTATAAAGCACCAAAAATCCAAAATGTTACAAGGTGATATATTGGCCTTAATGTTGACATGAAATAATGATCTCAGTGTATTTTGTGACAAAAGTATAATGTGTACTTTTTAACCTAAGTCAATATGAATAATACGCACTGTATTTTAGCAAGACAGAAACATTTTGCAAAATGTTCATCTCTCCTTCTTATGAACGTTGGCTTGAACATGTGATTTTTTAAAGCAGAATCTGTTGTTATTGCTGCTGAAAACAAGATGTGCCAGTGCAACATTTGAGCAGGTTGACAAGGCTAAGATTTAATTCATATAAGCAGATGATAAGCAGAAGATTCTTGTTGTGACAGAAGTTAATTAATTCAATTCATTCAATTTGGTGACACCAAACTCCAGATAAAGCCCATATTTCACTGCTAGGATATGGTTTAAAATTTGTCTGGTCCACATACCTTGATCATAGAGAAATGGTAAAGAGGATAGAATATAAGCTATTATCAAAGTTCTTCCAATCACAAAGGAGTCAAAATGTTTTGCTAAGATACCGTCAGTGAAATGTGCCAAGTTGTTGGCCTTTCTAGATTTCTTTTATTGATCTATTAGTAAGGGAGTCCCATTAATGTTTGCTTGAAATCTATTCACACATTTAAAGTATTTCTGGAGTTTTGGGTAAGTGTTAATCACAGTCCTCTGCACAGCATTTTAAACAGTTTCCTTTGTGAAAATGCATCATTCTTTATTTTATAAGGTAATTACTTAAACCCTTTGAAATAAAGCATGAATAAAATCAGGTCAGGAAAATTTCAAACTTTCATGTTTGTGACTTAATGGTATCCTTTAATGGTATCCTTTAAGTAAACCCATTGTTTGTTATGAGAGATTTTTGCCAAAAATAAATTGCAGTCACATTACCATGGAATACTGCAAAGAGACATAAATGCAGTTCGCTGAGTGCCCAAAATGCAACTACATGACCATGAGAGCAGCTTGTCTCAAATATCTTTTGGGATGGGGGCGGGGAGGGCTGTTGTAACTTCAGTGTAAGTCAAAGACTAGTTGTATTGAAATCAGCCAAAGCTGGCTGAGGAATTCTGGGAGTTGAAGTCCACAAGTCTTAAAGTTGCCAAGGTTGGACACCCCTGGTTTAATACAATCTTCTTCCAATTTAATAACTTCCCCATTTAATCTAAAGCTGTGGTTTTCCCTTAAAATCTTCCATCCAAATACTAACTAGGCTAAATCTGCTTAAGTTCCTAGACCAGACTACTCTTTTACATTAAAGTGTGCACTGACAGTGTAACAACGGACAAGTGCATTAGAATCTATGGGAACTGTAAATCCTGGATGACTGCCGAGGTACAAACAGTTCTGAGAGCCCAGGATTCTGCCTTTAAGGCAGGGGACAGGGATATATATAGAAAGGCTAGGGCAAACCTTAGAAGAGGCATTAAGATGGCAAAACAACAATACAAATATAAGGTGGAGAACCACCTAGCAGGTAACAACACGAAGCAAGTGTGGCAGGGACTGTAGCACCTAACTAACCATAAGGGCAACACGAGGAACACGGTCAATGCTGACACCTCGTTGGTAGAGGAGTTAAACATCTTCGCCCACTACAAGGTGAAAAGACCAGTCCCCGTAGCCTCTGCCTGGCAGCCTTCTGATTCCTAGCCACTCACCCTATACAAACATCAAGCTTGGCACTGGCTCCCCACAGGGCTGTGTGCTTAGTCCCTATCTGTACTCACTGTACACACAAGATTGTGTATCATCTGACCCATCTAATGTGATCATGAAGTTTGCAGATGATACAGGTGGAGACAAAACAGCGTACAGCGGAGAGGTTCAAAAATATCCTTATGGTGTCTAGAAAACAACCTGCACCTAAATATCAGCATGACAAAGGAGATGGTATTAGACTTCTGGAAGAATGAGGAACCCACCAAACTTTACACCAAGGGAGGCTGTGTGGAGAAAGTTTCCTCCTTTAAATTCCTGGGAGTCTACCTCAACGAAGATCTTACCTGGAAAATCAACACAACCTGGTGGCCAGAAAGGCCCAACAGAGATTCCATTTCCTTAGGGTCTTGTGAAAGAATAGAGTGGAACAATGACTGATGACCTCCTTTTACCGGTCCACAATAGAAAAAGCATTACGTGTGGTATGCTGGCTTGACAGCTGTGGATAAAAACACATGACAAAGGGTACCACTAGATGACCTCGCTAGGGCTCGCTGCCTTAGAAGAGTGAGGAAAATTCTCAGGGATGACTCACATCCCGGTCAGCATTTCTTCACGTCTCCCTGTATGCGCTCATTCTCCTAACGGGGAATTACCTCAACAGCCACCCCGATTGTAAGTCATGTCCCTCTATTGCCAACATTTTATTCTTTAAATTTTCTCATTTTGCAAAGGCTATTTTGCCATGTAAGCAGTGAGGCTTGATAATATAGCTCCCAGCCTGGTAACCCAAATCCTCCCTTATTTTTAGTGTCCTGTAGCATTTTTAATTTGATTCTTAGTTTCTTTCCTTGCCAGATAAATTTTGTTGTCGTTCTATTTAACTCTTAAATTTTTTTTTCCTAGTTTTATCGGAATTACTTGGAATAAAAATAGAATTTTTGGTAAAATATTCATTTTAATTGTGGCTATTCTTCCATTGAGCGAGAGTTGCAAATTTTTCCATTTGTCCAAATCTATCTTTATTTGCTGCATTAATTTAGTATAGTTACCTTCTTTGATAGATATACATCTTGCTGTTAGCCAAATTCCCAAATATTTGACTTTTTTAGTTATTTGCATGCCCATCTTTTCAATTTGATTTTCTGTTTATTTGTAAGGTTCTTTGTCAACATCTTGGTCTTTATTTTAAGTCCTGCCACTGCGCTGAACTCTATTTTTTTTTACTAATTTGGGTCCTGTTTCGAGTGGTTCTTCAAAATAAATACCAAATCATTGACAAATGCTTGCACTTCTTTTTTTTAATCTTCAGACCTTTTATTTCCTGGTCTTGTCTGGCCTGACCGAGTAGGACTTCTAGGGTTAATATGAATAGTAGAGGTGAGAGTGGACATCTTTGTCTTACACCTTTATTTGCGTTAAATTTTCCTGTTTCTCCATTTATTATCACATTCGCCATTTGGTTGGAGTATATTGTTTGAATCATCTTTACAAAGTTTTCTCCAAAATTCATGTTTTTCAGTTGTAATATAAACTACCAATTCATGTTGTCAAGGGCTTTTTGTGCATCCAAAAAAATCAGTGCTAGTTGCTTTTTGGGGTGGGCTTCATAGTATTCCAATACATTCATAATAATCCTCATGTTGTTTTTCAATTGTCTTTTGGGTAGGAAACCGTTCTGGTCGGGGTGTATGAATCATTTAAGAATCATTTTTGTCTTTCTGAGATTATGGAGGCAAATATTTTGTAATCAACGTTTAATAGTGATAATTGGTCTATAATTTATCTGTTGGTGATCTGTCTTCTTTTGGTATTAGTGTAAAATATGCTTCTGTCCAGGTTTTGGGTAGTTTGGCCCTTAATAATGCATTGTTATAGACCTCCAGCAGTGAAGATCCTAGTGATTCTTGGAAGTTTTTGTACAGTTCTGAGGGAAGCCCATCCGGACCAGGAGTGTTATTGCTTTTTTGTCTCTTAATTGCCTCAGTTATTTCCATTGTCGTTATTCTTTCTAACATTATTCTCATTGTATTGGTTATTTTAGTTAAGACCAGGTTTTCCAAAAATATTGTTTAGTAATATCTTCTGGTATATTTTCCTGGCTATACAATTTCCTGAAAACTCCCTGGGTTATTTTCTTTTTATCTTCATTCTGATGATAAAGAGTTCCCTATTTGTCCTGAGGCTGGTGTATCATTTTCTTCTTTTTCCTTTTTTAACTTACATGCTAGCCATCTATCTGGCCTATTTGCACAAAGAAGTTTTGTTTTGCCATTTTGACTTTTTGTGCCATTTCCTCTTGCACTACTAAATTCAATCTGTGTTTTATTAAGTCTCTTTTCTCTATTATGTTTTTTGTGGGTCTTTCTGTAGGTCTAACTCTAGTCTTTTGAGCTCGTCTTGTCATATATTTTGATGTTTTCTTTTTCTTATTACTTCTTGTTATGTATGTTGCGGCTAGTCCTCAGATGTGTGCTTTTGCTGTATGATAATTTCCATATTCCTATCAAAATCCATAGATACTCATAATCTGGCTAACAATATTGTAAAATTAGAAATTGCAAGCCTGCGTGCATATTTGGAATTTCAAAGCACCACAGATGACTTGCTGAAATCTTTTTTATAATCCTGTACAGTACAAACATGCAAATTGTTCTCCTTTAAACCCAGTCAATTGATTCAGTATTTCTGTCTTCTACTTCAAGGTACATAATTACAATATTTAAAATTTTCTTTGGAATCACCCTTGTCTGATTTCCCCTTCAAACACAATCACATATTATGCTCTCCCAAATGTCATATGTAGAATTCCAACCATCCTATTGGTTTTTTTTTTTAAATAGTTTTCAATCATATCCTTGAAACTTTTACTCATCTTACTGAATTATCTCAAGCTCTGCATTCTCTACTTCTACCCAATGTGATTTCTCCATGGCACTCCTCTTATCTCAGTACCACCCACATGCCTCAGTACCTTACCAATCAATGGCAATGGGCTGTAACCTTTCTTGTCTTGGTTTCTTTCTGGTTGCCAAAAAATACTTTAAAATTAGTTTTAGTAGCCACAGCTATCCTAAATGTACCTTTGGATCTGCTTCAAGTTGGCTGGAGACCAGTATTTCACACTGAAATATCCCAACCCCTTCTAATTTTAAGATTCACATGGTGCAATTCAGTCCCTTGTGAGATACTACTTGAAGCTATTTACCTAAATAACATCAAACATTTTTAGAAGGTTTTAAAATATTTTGTAATTTAAGAATCTGTAGCATAATCCAACACAGGATAAACATATAGACTGTGCATAGGTCATATGGAAATTGCATTTAAAGTACATTAGAATAGTATATTTCTACTATATCTTTTGTATATCATATGTAATATTTATACCAGATATTACAATATTTTAAACCATTTGTGGTCACACTCTTATAATGGGTCTGCACATGCATATTAAAGAAAAATCTACATTTCTCTTACCACCAAACTTGAATTATAATAAAATTGTTTTAATATGTGCAAGTTAAATTTAGGCATATTTTCAATATCTAATCTTTAATCATGGGTGAATTAAACCATAGCAGCAAAGAGCATGTTAAAGAGCATGAAGTTATTAAGTTAACCTCCTATTAGAGTTTATTTAAGTTACACTGGAAGACCAAGAATAAATCACTGTTCAATTCTCATTAATCCTTTAGTTTATTCAATATTTTGAAAATAGTCAAAGTTTCACAATTTATTAAAAATGTGCAAACAATACAAGTGTTTTGATATATACTATATAGAAAAGGGTTGGTCATTTAAATATTGTTCCCAGCAATTTTTCTGTAGAACAAACAACTGAGAAATCATAAATGGTTAATCTGTGAGGAACATTTCTGCAAGTTCTACTGAAATGAATGGAAAGCATAGTAGAAAAAGAAGTCAGGCTTCCTACGTATTCAAGCCTGTGTGGGCAAGAATGGCTGTGGCCATTTCTACAAGTAGGAAAATCTGGTATCTCTCCCTCTCACCAACCCATGACTCTGCTGCCATATTTTAGATTACAATTTTCATAAATCAAATGGCTGATGGTCAGGGATTATGGTAATGATAAACCAAACATTTGATGGTACTGAATTACATACTGCTATATTAAAATATCTGCAATGCTTTAAGGAGACAATGGAGATTAACTTTTCAACATTAACTGTAACATAAATTATAACCAGATGAAAACAACAAAACATTGGATGGTACACAGCAACTTGACCTTACTACAAAATATTTTGGCTTAATTTGGAAACAAATGAAATAGAGAAATATTTCACTAGAAGAAAAAAATCATATCTAAATTAATTATGAGGATAGTTATGTTTCCTATGTCACATATTTTCTGTTTATCATTTGAATGCAAACTATGTTCTCGTTTACCCCTCTATATTTCCTGTTGCACCTCAGTTAATAATTAACTTTTACTGACGCTTTTTCTTATGCAATTGAAAACCAGTAGCATTCTTTTTTAAGGCAACACCTTAATTACATACAAAACATTCTTGTGAACTTGAAGCAGCTTTCTCCACAGGCTTCCCATTACGAATGTTCTTTCTTCTTGAACAGTATATGGCAATAAAGATTTGATGAGTTGGGGAACATCTTGAAACACTTCCTTAACTGTAACAACATCCATCGGGACAGTTGTACTTCAGCTGGACATTTTGGACTTAAGTCATTGCTCTCCATGTTGTCTTCTTGCATATAGACCGAGGCAGGCACAGAATCCAACACAACTAAGAGCCACACCTAGCAACAAAGCTAATGCATCACCTGTATCTAAAGCTTCCACTACAGGCAGGCAGAAGAGCAACAAGAAAAATACCAAGAAGAACTGTGAAGCATTCCTGGTGGCGGCCATGTTCCCAGTCATTATTGATCAGATGACCCTGAAGGAAATATTAAATACATAGAAATGACCAATCAGATCTATTTAAACTCAAAAAGAAATGAAAGCAAAGATATGGGCATTACTAGATAGAACCCACTTTCTGTAACATCAGCATAACAGCCTAGGGAAAGGAGTTTGGGAAAGGAGTTGAGTGTAGATGAAAGAAACATTTTATTGTGCAAGAAACAGAATGGGAGAAATGAGACCTGTAACCAATTGTTTGTTGCTTTATAGCAAGTTCTAACTTCTCACTGTATTACTCCATACAAACTGGTTTCCTACAATTTTAATATGCTGTATTTCATAACCATAAGCAATATTCAACTTCATTTGTAGCTTTTTAAAAATTACCTTTTAGAAGATTTTATTTTCATTCATGGCAACCCTACTGATACCCTGGAAGCATATGTGTGCTTTACTGCTTTTTAAAGTCAGGGGCACGATCTGGGAAATTTAGCTCTGGGAACACACATCTTGAGAGGTACATTCCAGCTAGGACTGTTGCAAAGACGGGTGTGTAGTTCTGACCATATAAGCATTCTGTCATCAGAAATAAAGAGAAATTACTAAGTCATAGCAGAGGTGGTAAATAGAAGGCCCCCTTCCCTGTGACCTCTTGTTTTGAGCACCCAAAGTCATATTTTGATACAGCTGTTAAAATTTCCCTATTTTGTAGTAGGGCAAATATGAAAAATTACATGTATGGTACGATAGGCAAGTTTTGACATCCAAACCTTCTTGCTATAGCAGAGTTCAGATACAATAATTTTTGGTATTACAAAAGAATGCATCAGAATATGCTGTAAATGCACCTTCCCTATACATATTCTCCCAATTATCCTTCCTACCTACCTACAACACAGGACAAGAATGATATAATGGATGTGGAAGGGATAATTTTGACCATGAGTCCAAACTTAGTATCTGCAACAGATGGCTGTCCAGCCTCTGCTAGGACACACCCAGTGAAGGGAAGTCTACCAACTGACTCCATTGTCAATTTGCTTTCACCACTGTTTTTTTTAAAATAACCAGAATCCACCTTCCTCAAATTTTAGGGTTAAGAATAAGAAGTAAATAATTTTTCAGTGGACATATAAATTTTTATAGTTTAAACATGCATAACACCATTGACAAAGCAAAAGTGCAATCATCATATTTGAATCATGAAAGTAATTAGAAGTAAAATGCTCCCTCTAGCCTTTTCCAAACCAGAATGTGTTATTATTAGTGCAAATACATTTGTTCAACTAAAATTTAAAAATAGCCTTTGCAAAATGAGAAATTTTGTGCTGTTAAACTCTTAGTTACAAACATTATAAGAAGAATTTAAGAAATGCATAAACTGATGATTTACCTGGTCAGATAATAAAATGTCTGCAAACAAGCAAACAAGCTCAGAGAGCATCAAGGACTCCACAAAGTGTCCAAAGTGAAAAGTCTTATAGAGAGAATAAATATTGTACAGTATTTATTGTAGAAGTCTGTCACTGAAATTTTTTAGGATGCAAGTCTATGGCTTATGGGATGCAGCTTTGTAGAAATATTAATATTCCATCCACACTGAGAGCCAGCTTAATGTACTGATGCTGGTCTAGAAATCAGGATATTGCAAGTTTTGAGCCTTCTTTAAACAGGAAGCCAGTTGATTGACATTGAGCCAATCATTGTCTCAGCTCAATCCATTTCACAGGTGGGATAAAAATTTAACAATAATCCTCAGTAATACCCGCCCAGGCTGTTAAGCACTTCTACCATTTAAAGATTGCTCAACTTCATCTAACAGTCCATCATGTCCTTTTGCACACAGGATGAAAAATGCCAAGAGCTGATTTAATAGATTTATCAACACATTTTTCTTGGCAATGTACCAGTTGTTTGTTTCCCTTTACCTTTTGCAAGGTGGCATTAAACTTTGTGATCTAATCTATAGCCTTATTTTTCTTAGTATTCTCCCATCTCTAATACTACCATATTCACTTTGATTTGTTGACCCACAGAAAAGCTTAATAGTAATAGCAGTAAATGTTTTATTCAGAAATATGGTATGTTGGAAATACCTTTTACCGTTCCTATACTTAATAATTTTTAAAAACCTGGAAAAACTTATTCTGCCCCAGGGCTAGACATTCTGACAGTCTGAAAATGAAGCAAATAACATTGCAATAAATACTGAACTTAACATGCATGTTTGAATACCTGTCTACATTTATTTACCACAGATCAGTAATTTTAGAACTCAAATCTGAAAAAAAGCACAAGCCAATTACACAGCTGAGAACCAGACATTCTGCAATGGACAAGCAAAGTGCCAAGTGACCCTCAAATGCCCTGTATTAACACATGAATTAAATAATTCCTAAGATCATAAGCGTGCCTTTTTGCTTAAACATAAAAAGCCATGCTTTATTTAAGCCACTTATGTGCTGACATGTGTCAGCAGGGCATTGTACACACTGTACAGCTCTAGTGAATTATATTCAGGCCATGCAACATATACATTTGATCAAAATTTATCTAGGTTAACTTATATGGTCTTATCATACTGCAGTATAAAACCACATGGCACACCAAAAACCTGAAAGCCTTCCCCATTTTAGCAAAGGGCAGGATTTTTATGGCCAAGGCTACATTAAAAAAAAGCTTGACAACTATGTTGGCATCAGACAATACCATTACATTTTGCAAGAACAGAAAGAATTAAATAATGTAAGAATTGGAACGGACCCCGGAAGTCTTCTATCCACCCCCACCCCCCAAAAGCAGATCTTATACCATTCCATACAAGTGTCCAGTTTCCAAGTATTCCCTTTACAACAAGAGCAAAAGAGCTGTTTGCTGTAGACTAGAACGTGCAAGACAGCAAATTCGAGTCCCACCTTGGGCCTGAAGCCAACTGGGTGACCTTTGGGCCAGTCACTTTTTGTCAGCCCTAAGAAGGACGCAAGGGCTAACCACTCCCAAAAAAATCTTGCCAAAAGAACTGCAGAGGCTTGTCCAGGAAATCTACAGGAATCAACAAGGACTGGAAGGCACATTCTTGCCTCCCAAATTAACAGAATTTCCCGGAACAAACAACCAAGACATCGGAAGTCTTTTAAGTCTTGGCCAGAATGTTAAACAAATCAGCAAGAAGCCTGTAATATCTTCAAAAAGATTGGACAAATTTATTGATGCGTAAAACTTGCAGGCACACAGGACGCCGCTACTTTCCGTTCTGGAAAAGCGAAAAGTCTTGGAATTAACCCAAGTCTTGGAATTAACCCAAGTCTTGGAATTATCCAAGTCTTGGAATTATCCATATGGCAGTCCCGAGAAACACCCACCAAAAGCCTCTTACCTGGGGGGGCTGGGGGTTGTCGTTTTTCTTTCTTTCTTTGTCTAACTTTGAGGTCTTGGAAACCGTCCACTCGCCCTACTAAAGAAAGGAGAAGGGAAGGAGAACCCAGGCTTGTTCTGTCACCCGAAACGAATTAAACCTGCAAGAGGGCTAACGAAAGGCACATGATGGCACGTCCGGATCAAATGCTTCGAGTCACGTGCAGGAGCGATGCTTTAAAGCCGCCTCCAAGCTAACTTCCTTGGAAAGTACGCGCGGCTCGACCGGACCCGGGGTTGCTATCCATGAAGAACGGGCCGTTTGAACATCAGAAAAGGCACATCCCAGCCCCCCAAAACCCTAAAGCGTTTAACCTTTCGTGGCCCCGGAGCAAATGGAATAATTTTACCTTCCTGAAAGCGGCCATTACCCGTAGAAGGAAAAAGGAGGATCTCATTGGCTTGCGCAATCCCAAACCTTGCCATGCCTACAACTTCCGTCATGCATTGCGCAACGTTCTTCTTTAAACCGCTGAGCGCTTCAAAGGAACTTAGTTTGCAGCTTCCTTAAGGATTTTATTTGCAGTTGCAAGCGTCTTTTGGTGCTGAAGTCGGGTGAAACTCGGGCTTTAATCCGGAGTTTCTCAAATTCCTAAGAGGTCTGTTAGGGGACGTGCATAAGCGCACCAAAACGCGCCTACCGTCCCTGTCCTATTGTTTCTTTTCTTTCTTTTTTCTTATTCGTATCCATTTGATGTATTTAGAACCATGTTTATACTTATACCTGTTATCTAATAATTGTTCGACTCAATAAATAAATAAATTAAATAAAAATTAGGCAACTTTCAAATGGCTGGAGAATTCTGGATATTGAACTCCTCAAAAGGTTTAATCTAAGGCCATCATACCTTTCTGCAATAATCCATGCGGTCACTAAAATATGAAAGAATAAAGGTAAGTAAACCTGTCCCAGGATAATATTGCAGGATAACGTTGGAGGACTAACGTCTTAGTTGGTCACTGGGACCAGAGACTTTCAAACTTTCGGACTTGCGTTTGAAACCCTCTTCAGGAAACTTTTGAGCAGAGAAGACCGCGAGCCACATTACTCACTTCTCAAACGTTTCGCAAAAACCAGCCTTTGGAAAGGCTCAGAATGCGAATGTGACTTTATAAATTCAAAAATAAATAAAAGCAAAACACGGACGTGTCTTTTTCTTGAATGCTGTTGGAAATCCTATTATACATAATTATCAGTTTTAACATGTTGGAAAAAAATATCCATCTGGTTCAGTTCCAATCTGGAAGAAAGACACTGGAAACATGGAGGCTGATTGGAAAGAAGCTTTTAATGAAGCAGAACCACCCAGCAGGCTTGATTCTGATGCAACTGACCACATGGAGCTGAGAGGGGGGAGTGGGACTTATACCTTCCCTTGGGCTTTGAACTTGAGCTTCCTGTTCCTGTGCAAGAACATTGTATTCCATTGGCTGTTTTCAGACTCCCATGGGACTATATGCAGGGGTCATAACTGGCTTTGTAGGTTGAGAAGTTTGGTTGAAGTTTGTGAAGGTGATGCAATGTCCTTAGGAGATTGTGCAATGTGAATGTAGCTCTGTATCTTAGCGGGTTAATAATCCAGTTATGTATTGAAGGGTCGTGTCTTAATCTCTTCACCCCGGAGCTGAAGGTCTTTTGTTTCATATATAGGATGGCACAGTCTTTCTTAACGGGCAAAAAAAAAAAATCTGCTGGCGGCAGGGGTGGGATTCAAATTTTGTAACAACCGGTTCTGTGGGTGTGGCTAGATGGGCGTGGCTAGATGGATGCAGCCAAGTGATTGAGTGGGCGTGGCTTTTTTTGAAACAACCCTCCCCCGTTTTTGGGGCCTTCTGGGCCTTAGGGAAGCCTCCTGGAGGAGGCGTTTTTGCTCCCAGAAGGCTTCCCTGGGGCTTGGGAAGAAAAAGAAATGGAGCCCGTAGGGGGCGCGCAGCACCCACCCATCCCACGCTCTGTTCTGGGGCCTCTTGGGCCTCAGGGAAGCCTCCTGGGGTGGATGCAGCCCCCCCTCAATTTTTTGCCTTCCTGGGGCTCAAATAAGCGAAGCAATAAGTGAGGGGAATCCTGGCACAGCTGATCACAGGAATAGCTGATCGTCAGGAGGGAGAAAAAAAGAAGAAATACCTTAAGGAGTGACTGGGCAGGGGAGAATGCAGTCAGCGATGTCAGGCATGTGCGAAATGTTGTGCATGCGCGATAAGGACTGACTGGGCGAGAAGGGGAGGGTTGGGAGGAGAGGGGTAGTGCCAGACAGGGTGTCAGCCTCAAGATCTCTTCGGGTACCCTAACTGCTATCTATCTCATTTACTTCTCCCATATCCTACCTACTTTATTTTCTCTACTGCTAGGCTTAATTCTTTCGGCTGTCATTAGCAATGGGGGGAGGAGTAATTGTGGGGGGAAGAGAGCTGGAGGTGTTTTGCATTCCTTTATTGTGGGTAAGCAAAAGGAGGGGGTGTATGATTTCTTCTTTTCAACTTTCCATTTCCTTGCTAGCCTCTATCCCTTTTTGCGCAGCTGCGAAGTCTTATCAAAATATGTCAAGGTCAACGGGCAGAGGCCTCATCACCACCTGAAGATGCCCACATGATCATATTCAGAACTTTTAATTGGAAGAGACTTCTGGACTTTGGGGGGTGGGAACAATTTGATTTCTTTGTATGTGTGATCTGCGCGCCAAATTCTCAGTTTCGGAATTCCATCTGTAGCTTCCTCTTCATCTTCCAGTAAAAGAATAACTTTGCTCTGATCCATGGAGTCTGGGTATTTCTTTCTTGGATTCTGAAGGGAGAACGCACTGACACAGGGGCACAATTTGCCGGTTCTCTGAACTGCCCACAATCATAACAACCGGTTCTATAGAACTGATCCGAACCAGTAGAATGCCACCCCTGGTTGGGGGCTACTAAGAAAAGTGGGGGCTGTCTCTTTCTGTCGCCAAGAGCATGCTTCTCCATTTCTCCTTTAGGGAATTATAATATTCTACCTTCTAAATATTTCTCTAAATATTTCATTCTTCTGGGGAGGGGTGTGTGTGTCTTCCCTCAATCATTTATGTATTGACATCTTTTTAGTGGTGTATTTTTGATATTTTTTCCCTTTGATAGCTATGGAGATAGTTATCCAGGTATGATTCTCCCAAAAGGTGCTTTTTCAGTTGGCAACTAGACTTTCTTGTTTTCTTTGAAGACATTTCACTTCTCATGCAAGAAGCTTCTTCAGCTCTGACTGAATGGTGGGGGAATGAAAGGATTTGTCAGGCTACAGAACTTTTCCCATTCAATCAACTAGAATGAACTTCTGAAAACGTATCAAAACGTATCAAAAAGGAATCCTTTATTGAGATGAGACAATTCATGTAGGGGTTAAAAGCAGCATCTAAGGTCTCTCAGGCATGCAGAGATAGATAAGGGAGTTTTAAACCCCTCCCCTTATCTTGATGTGTATTTAGTAAAACAAAGAGCCAACATGTTAATTCCCCCCACCCTCTTTTTAGAACGATCTTTTCCAGAGTTTCCCAGGACACATCTCACTGTGGAATGTTTATGGTCTCTTCATCTCCTGGCTGTCTCTCTCAGAGGTGATAGGTTCCGGCCATCTGGGTTTCATCTCTCCATTGTATCATGTGTAGGTTATACAAATTCGATATAAGATTAAATATATTCAGGTTACATCAAGAAGGATATCTTTATATAGGGAGAATCTCAACAATCAAGATGAATATCCTACACAGAATCTTATACTTGTTTCAAACAATATCAATTAGGCTTGGAAAAGACTATTTTGAAGACTTAAATAAAATTGTGTTGAAGTATATATGGCAAGGTAAGAAAGCCAGAATAAAGCTAAAACTTTTACAAGATGCTAGAACTAGTGTTTGCCTAACTGGGAGTTGTACTATCAAGCTGCAAATTTGATGTGGGTTAACGAATGGATAACATTAAGAAAGACTAGATTTTTGACACTAGAAGGACATGATTTGTTGTTTGGGTTGGCATGCTTTCTATGGTATAAGGGAACTAAAACACAGGGTTATTTTAGAAGACATCACATACGGGAGTCTCTGTGGCTAAATTGGGAGAAGATCAAAAGACAATGTTATTTGAAAATTCCAGTTTGGTTATCAACTATTGAAGCATTCTCTTATCCTATAATATATAAGAAGGAACGAACAGTTAGATATGGGGAAATACTGGATGAAAAGGGTGAACTTAAATCAATGCAAAACTTAGAGGAACAAGGTATAAGGATGAATTGGTTTTCATATACACAAATACATTCAAAGTATGATGAAGATTTAAAAACAGAGGGATTTTATGATAAATTGACTGATTTAGATAAGATTTTGACAGGTACTGATGAAAACAGAGGGATTTTATGATAAATTGACTGATTTAGATAAGATTTTGACAGGTACTGATGAAAACTATATGGTTATAAAAAACTATATTGTTATTTATTGGAAATTAAACTAGAGGAAGAACAAGTTAAAGAAACTATGATTGCTTGGGGGAAGAATTTTGGATATGGGATTGATTTAGAGAAATGGCAAAAATTGTGGTCTCAAAATTATAAAATAACTATGTTAACAGCTTATAAAGAAAATTTGTACAAGATGTTTTACAGGTGGCACTTTCCCCCAACAAGAATAGCAAGAATGTTTAAGAATAAATCTGAAAAATGCTGGAAATGTCATCAGATACCTGGCTCATATTACCATATGTGGTGGACTTGTGAGGACGCTAGAAAATACTGGACTAAAATTCGTATGTGGCTGGAAAAAATGACAAAGAAACACATAGATTTGAAACCAGAGTTTTTTTATTGGGAATTTTACTTGATACATATAGTAAAGATTTGAAATATTTGATTGTAAATGTATTAACAGCGGCTAGGATTGTATTTGCTAAAAACTGGAAAAACGAGAAAATACCATTGCAGGAAGAAATTATTAAGAAAATACTGGAATGTGCTGAAATGAGTAGATTGACATTTGAAATTAGAGAACAAGAGGATAAACAATTCAATAAAATTTGGGACCTTTTCTATCAATGGTTAGATAATAAAATACAGTAATGAAATATGTAGACTTTTAGAAAATAATAAATATATAAAGATGTACTTTTTTCTTATTATATCTACAAAATGATTTTAGGATAGATTTGGGATGATAATATGAACTGTTATAAAATAAACTAAGTAAATTATGACTATCCTGTAAAACATGAATGAATAAAAGTATAGTCAAATGATTGATTAATAATGATACTAAGGTATTTAATTTTTGATTGACAATATGAGATCATATGCAATGTAATTGTAATTGAAGACTATGAAATGGAAGCACAAAACAATTCATAAACCAACCGGCACACTGTATGTACACCTATGCAAGATAGCTTGATGTTTTTATGTTTTGTTTGTA